ATCCTCAGGTTGTGTGTCACTATAGAGTTTATTATCATTTCTGCTGGTGCCACCCCACATACTTGCTTTTGAAGCTTTTCATATGCAGATCAACCAGTCCAAAGCTCCTGGCCACAACTACTGCCTTGGTCTAACTCACACCCAAGCCAGTATTTACCTACCCCAAACCACTCCAGGGCCAGGCACCAAACAACTAAATGCTACCTCTGTAGTCCATATATACCCTACATTATTCAAACTCTCCAGTCCTGAACTTGCTCAAACCTGCCCCCCCGCCCCATTCCTTCCTGGGGAAACATAATAAAGGCTCTGGCTGTGCGCTTCCTGCACTCATGCCTCCCATGTAGTCCTCCACCATATTGAGCACCTGGCTTGGACACAGTCAGAAACTCTTCTTTCAAAGGAGTTCTTTGTGGCTAACGTCTTTATGTCTTTGTCTTCTTTTTCTTTTTCTTTTCTTTTTTTTTTTTTTTAAGACAAGGTCTTGCTGCATAACCTAGTCTGATCATAAACTTGTGTTTCTCCTGCCTCAGTCTCCTGAGTGCTGTGATGACAGCCTGCCTAGCTTTTGTCTTTATATCTTAAGACACCATCTCCCAGCCAGTTCTTTTTACCAGACTGTCTATGGTAAAGTTTCTATTTTTTCCCAATTGTTCATGAACTGATACTATTGTAAAATGTAACAACAATGAATTTGTAGAAAAATTATCATATTCTTCGATGTTATGACAATGTTAATTGCTATAAAAATTCCCAAATGTTCCCCTTAATTTCTTTGCTTGTTTTATTGCAAACCAGTAAGTTTTGTACTAGCATTGATCTGTAAATGCCAGGCCCACTGCCCACATTGAGTAGAACTGGTTCAGGGAAGCGAATCAGTTTTAGTGAGGATACCCAAGCATATATGTACCAGGAGGAGTAGTAAGCTGGAGCTTTACCAATCAACAACATGGAAGAAGGAAACTTAAGAGCTAGCCGTGTGTGTGCCTTTATAACATACAAACAAGACATCAACATTCTGGAATCTGTCTAACCAGTGTGCCATCTCCTCCCAGTGCAAAGATGTAGCAGAACAGAATAAGTCTGGGTGATCAGAGATGTTGTTAACACATGGCATTTGTTTAACAATGAGATCACCTTCATGTTGATGGAAATAATCCATGATCAATGTATTTCTTTTCGTTTTTCATTTTTCTTGTTTTCTGTTGTGGTGCTGGGGATGGAAGCCAGGGCCTTGTGGAACCTGACCAAAAACTCTGTCACTGGGCTGTACTCCCAGCCCCTGATTTGATTTTCTTGAGGTGGCCCCAGTGATGAAGTTCCTTTATATCTCAGAAGCTTGTGGGTTACTTAGAGTTAAGTCAGGAAAAGACCACTCAGGAAGTAAAGGACACAGGTGAGAGAGTGGAATGCTTGGGACTAGAAATCTTCAAAGAGAATGCAGCCATCTAGGGACAGAGGCTTTCTACATTGCAGGAAGAAACAGGAACCAGAAGCACCATGAGAACAGAGCCAGAAGTGGGATTTTCAACACCACCAAGACAAGGGCAAAAGTACTAAAGATGATCCCTACAGCCCTCTCCAGGGTTATGTCAAAGTATTATTGAAAAAAGTTTCTGTAACATTTATAATGGATGCACTGTTGACAGTATGAACCCCCAAGAAACAGTAATCAGTTAGTGTCATCTTAGAAGAAAGTTAAAGTATGAAATCTAAAGCCAAAACCTCCTGTTACCATTTTCAATTGTGAAAGAACATCTAAAGTCCTGACACGGAAGGCTAAGCGCCACAGGGTAGCAGGGCTTGTCTTCGCAGTCACCTGTCCAGCTTCTTTCTCTTACAGCAGCAGTTCTTAGACTGAATTTGCATTCCCCCTGTGGCACTTGGAAACTTTGCAATTGTGGTTTCCAGGAATCTAACTTCCTAACATTTTTTTTGAGAGTTTCATACATGAGTATTATATGTACATTATTTCTACTTCTTCCATCCCCCTTCCTACTCCTCCCACGCCCCTCCATTCCCTTTCAATTTCTTGTCTTTATTGTACATTCATATATACATTTATAAATATACATATATATGTATAATGCACTGAGTCCATTTAGTGGTGCTCATGTATATTTGTATTCAGGGCTTTCTACCTGGGATTAGATAACTTCTCAGGGAGCTAGACCCTGGAGAAAACTGATTGTCCCTCCCTCAGCATCCATTGATTGCCCATAGCTCTTCCATCTTGAAGTGGGACCCCATGAAATTTCCCCCATCCACTTTGGCGTAGCAACTGGTTTTGTCACTTTGCAGTTCCTGTTAGACTACCACACTGTGGTGATTTCATTGGTGCAGTTTCCCTTTCATGTTTAGAATGCATTAACTAGCAGCAGGTGTCTTGTCCCTCTGGCTTTTACAATCTTTCCTCCCCCTCTTCTGTGATGTTCCCTGAGCCTTAGATATAGAAGTTGCATTGTAGATATATCACTTAGTGATGGGTATCTCGCAGTCACTGTATTTTGACCAGTTGTGGAACTTTGAAATAGTCTCCTTTTATTGCAAAAAGAAGCTTCTGATGAGTGTGAGAAGTACACTTGTCTGTAAGTATAAAGATACATAATTAGAATATAGTAAGAGAGCTGGGCATGGTGGTACAAACCCTAAATTCCAGCACTTGGGAGACAGGCAGGTGGATCTCTGTGAGATCAAGGCCAGCCTGGTCTACATAGCCAGTTCCAAGCCACCTTGGAGCTACAGGGAGACCCTGTGAGATCAAGGCCAGCCTGGTCTACATAGCCAGTTCCAAGCCACCTTGGGGCTACAGGGAGACCCTATTTAAATACACACATACACACACACACACTCTACATTGGTCTAGGAAAGTGACAGGTAGATTCTTCTTTAGGATCTATGACCTCTTCAACCACGTGTACTTGGCTGTGTTTACAGTACCATGCATGAATTATCTCCTACTGAGCAGGCTTTAAGTTCAAGGTACCCCCAAGATAAAAGTACCACTATTGCACTAACAGATTTTCTGGGCTGAGTCATTGTTGTGGTTCATAGGCTTACATCTGGGTAGGACTGTTGATTGTTTTTTGTTTTCCCTTGGCAGCTTGCATAGTCTCTTCTATGATATCTCATACTATGAGAGCTTCTCTTTAGGGAGGAGACTTCCAGGTCAGTTCTAGCTTAATTGCTCCAAGTCCTGTGTCCAAAGCATCTTAAGGCCTAACCCCTAACTTTTAACTTACATGGAGCTGTAGCTAATATCAGCCCTGTGGTCCAGAGTCTTCCTGCTTCTCCTTTTCCATTTCCCTTTTTGGAGAGGTCCTTTCTTCCCCTTCATCCTAGATCATCCTATGTGACTTATTTTCTTGAGGTACCCAAAACCCTTGGGATGCCAAAAAAAAAAAAAAAAAAAAAAAAAAATTGAAAATATTAGCCTAAACAGTTTTCTCTAACATAGGGTCCTTAACTCCATTGTAAGATATTCTGAATATATCTCTTCCTCACATGTGTCTTTTAAGAGTAAAAGAATTCTAATCAGCTGGGTGTGGTGACACATGCCTTTAGTCCTAGCACTCAGGATGCAGAGGCAGGCAGATCTCTGTAAGTTTGAGGCCAGCCTGGTCTACATAGCAAGTTCCAGGCCAGCTGTGGCTACAAGGAAACCCTGTCTTGGTTTGTTGTTTTGTTTTGTTGTCTTTTTGAGATGGGTCTCCCCATAGCCCCAGCTGACCTGGAACTAGAACTCACTGTGTAGACCAGGCTGGCCTTGAACTCACAGAGAGCCACCTGCCTCTGCCTCCTGAGTGCTGAGATTAAAGGCGTGTACCACTATGCCCAGCTTATTTTTATTATTTTTTTATGTGCATGAGTGTTTTGCCTGCTTGTTATTTTTGGAAACGGGGGTGTAAA